AACTTCACAGGTCACGACGGTTATAATAATAGCGTATGTATTCCAATCGTCGCTCTTTGCTCAGTGCTGTGAAGAAGTCTCGGTGGAGGGAATCACGAAAGAGGTCTACTGCAAAGTAAAAAAGATCACGATCCCCTGTAAATTCTGGATCTTCTTCAAGAAGTCCAATGACCTCATGAACCGAGGTTTTTTGAACTCTGTGAGGGGCATCATTAGATGAGTCCACTAGGTATGAGAGCTGCTCCCTCATAGATACAGGTCCACTCTTTCTCTTGCTTTCGTTCCGGGGGCGCTTCGCACGGTTGGTGGATTGAATTTCAGGTGGCTCAACACTGTGGAATTCTGTAGAATCATTTGAAAATTCCACGGCCACATTCTCGGGGGCTGTTTCAAAAACTGTTTGGCTAGGGGCAGCTGAAAATTTTCCTGTAGCTACCACCCCACCAAACATCATTTGTAACTTGCCCTCCAATTCTGGTTCAATCCCAGCTAATCTGAACTTCTTTGCCGCATGAACAATCTGTAAAAGAGAATGAAAGGTTATTAGAAATCAAAAATAAAACTTATTAAAATTAAAAAGAATTACTCAATCTTCAATTGGTGTCTATCATATTCCCTATCTGTCATCTCCTTGAATTTGCTAACAATGTTATCCCAACCTTCCTTATTGAAAAATATTGTTGGTCTATTTCCCTTATCAATTTCACATATGCATAGGTCACTGAATATTAACTTGGTGTCCTTCTCCCAAAGTGTAGGGGTGACAACCTTTTTGTTTTTATTAGTCATGCTAATAATACCACGAAAAAATAATATTCAACATGAATTAATATAACGAATTTAAACATTGCTAAACAAATGAAAGAATAGATATAAACACGTTGCAAGCAATAAACCAAACAAGAAATGTAAAGATAAGGGAACACAGGAATTTACGTGGTTCGGTCAACTGACCTACGTCCACGGGAAACGAATGCAATATTTTATTGAAATACTAGCTGAAATTTTTTAAGCATATCAACAAGGACTCCTTTGTTGTACATATGCACAACTTACATCATATATACAATATATAAAAAGTCACCTCTCATTTGCATACTTCCTTGAATTGGCCTGAAAGCTATTATTCCTACCTTATCGCTAGGCTGATGGCCGGCTATTCTAATCCTCCTGGATCAATGGCATCACACAAAAGTTGCAATTAACTTGCACGACACTCGTAGAATATCCAACCAGAAAGGTAAAACTTTCTTAAAAAATAGATCATGTTACATTCCTTAATATCTAATTTAAAATAAAAAAATCAGTCCCCCAGAATTGAAAAATAAAACATAGTTAGTTGAAAGCCCTAAACACTGAAAGCTGGTACTAAAAATGCCAGAGCAATGTTCTCAGCTCCATCTACAGTAACAATCAAAAACTGAAAAAAAACAGAAATCCAGATCATAAGAATAATTCTAGAGGTGGAAGTCATGAATTGCAAGCAAAAAATATAAAATTACAGGTAGAAGAATTCTTTCAAGCACTTTGACACATGTTCA